AGATTTCAAAGAAGCAATAATTTAAACCCGTAAATTAAATAATTTTGTTATTCTTAACTTCTATGTACTTCAAAATGTAAATCAATTCATTTCTGTAGTTAGTTTCAAAGTAAACATCATATTAATGTATGCATTTAGTGAATAATAAATTAAATTTGAATCAAATTTAATAATAAGAATCTTATAATTCAAATTTAATACATTTTCTTCAATTAAATTGTTTAATTCTATTAAGTTTATTTGTTTATTATTATTACATATTACGTGTTAAACGATTATATTTATAATTATTAAATCTGTTTCATTCGAAATTAACAATATATTGGTAGAAGTAGCGACTATTTTCAGAAATAATTAGAAATAATTCAAATTGGATATAATTTGATACATTTGATTATGAATTAATAGAATAAAATTAAAATTCTTTTTAGGTGTTTTAAGCTCTTATCAGCTGCGTACCTTTAGTTAATTGTCTATTTACTTAAAGGTTAAATGAAATACTGTTGACGAGACCACACACATTTCGTGATCTTAAGGAATTTAACAACTCGCAACGTTTATGCAAACATACGTCACGATCTAACGTCTTCGAAACTATAGATGCGTGCTACTCTAAAAATACGTTCATGCTTTATTTACTGTTCTCGAGAAAGGTTAATGAACGAATATCTTGATATCCTCACACACACACATATATTGCAATGAGTTTCTTAAGGCATGAACTTTTCGAATCTCTCCCGCCTATAGGGTGATGTCTCATGCGTGCGAGTCGCGATGAAAGATTCAGAACGATTATTCGGATAGCGAGAAGCGGAAAGGCGGTTAAAGTGCTGCCGAGAAACATTTCCAAGGTGCAGAGCGTACGGGTCACGTTTTACGGGCTCTTGCTTGCAAAGGACTCACGATATCGTCCAACCGGGAATGTCGATTTCCATATCAAACGCCAATGTGATAAAACCGCTCGGAAATAAAACGCGGCATTCGAAATTCTGGTGACGATCAGAAATCGTGAAACCGCGATTAGAACTTATATACCGATAATAAATTCTCGGGGAAACTTTGCTCAACAGACAAGCGATATTTATTACCATCTTTCGAGATGCTCTCGACCATGTTAAACGTTAACGGTTGAACGATAATAATTTCATGATTCATTTTGAAGTTTACCGTGAAGGGAACTAAATTATCTTAAATGAAATGTTGCATTGAAAGAGCAATTTTGCTGAAGAATCTAAAAATTTGATTGGATACAAATCAATCAATAATTTTGTTGGATCATCAAAATAATTTTTTAGGAATTTTAGGTTGTTTCGATTTAAAGAAATTTTCTTTGCTATACGATTAAAGAAAAAAATTTCTTTGAATTGTAAAAAAATTTTTTTGATTTAAATATTATTTTTTTAAATCAAATAAATTTTATTTGATTTAAAGAAATTATTATCAAATCCAAGAAATGATGTTCAAACCATGATTCTTTCTCTAGGTGTAAGCAATGCTGCAAAATGTTTTGATATAATTGTCGTCCTACTTAATTGTTTTGATGTCCAATAAAATATTTTTCTGTATCTAGTTAAATCTTTAGATTCTTCAACAAAATTGCTCTATCAATGTGGAGGACAGATCTTTCTCCACGCAATTTCGCAATCGGTTCACATCCACGCAATATTCCACATTATATTTCGCTCTCAATTCTGTCAAGCAACGAATCAGGCGCGTTTTTTACCGAGAATTTTTATTCCGAACATGTCACGTTCCAAATTACCAGAGTAGTCGGAAGAATTAATCTACGCCGCTTTATAGCGTCACATCATTGTAATAGCACGTCGTTTCCCTTAATTATGCCGGAGACGCCGAGAATCGTAGGATCCGTCGATCATTAAACGAGATCGTTACGTTCTCTCATCCGTATCTTCTACCCTGTTCTTCGTTCTCTTTCATTCGAATTCGACCTATCTCTTGGACGTGTATCTTTACGAGGATAGTATCGCGAGTATAAAAGCGGAACGTCCCGAGATGAGATCTCAGGCAGCTGCGCGTCGAGAAAATTCAACGGGATGCTGCCCGACGAACGAGCGAGATCCACGAGCTTCGATAATATGAAAATAGCGCGAATTTTTACGAGCGCGGCGAAATACGAAACTGCTCCATCGCTTCCCGTCGTCTCTCAGGCGTGTGTCGGGCGTGTGAAGCCGAGATGTCGATAGCCGGGAAATACGAGGTGTCACTCGGAAATTTCGATTGCCAACATGAAACGCGATACCGCGGAACGTGGAAAAGACGCGAGAAAGCTCTCGGAACGGACGATATGCGCGTTAAGTTAGATAAATCTTGGGTTCTTGGTTCAATATGAGAGTTCAAGAAATTTCAAAAGAGAGAATCTATTTCTTGTTTATCGCCGTTTTGACGCGATGACAAGGAAAAGATTTTGCTGAAATATTTAAGAATTTAATTAAGATATAAATCTGAAAATAATTTCGTTATAAATCATGAAAATAATTATACAAGATGACTATTAGGATTGTGTCACAATTAAATGATTATCACTTCGCAACAAGTGGATTGAACAAAATAGAAACGTCGTTTGTAGAGGAAATTTGTCGATTTCATTTAAGTAGTTGTACAAGCTAGCTCATGAGTAGCATGAATGTAGAAAATGGCGTTTCAATTGTTTTGTTCAGTCTACTTGTTGCGAAATAGTGACCGTTTTGTTCAGATACAAACCTAATGATCACCCTATATACTCAAACATGATGAGCATCCCATAAAAAGTTTTGACATTCATAATAACTATGTTGGAAACTAATATAAAAATTTTTCGAAGTATTGCTTGTAATTTAACTAAAAAAATTACAAGCATGTGTTAAATGTGCAATGTTTTAAAAAAATTTTATATTCCAACAATCAGTTTGAGTTTCCAACAAAATTATGCTGATGAGTCAACAAAATTATTATTAGGTCTGTATCCTCCTGGGAAATTTTAGATCTTTCAATAAAATCGTTCTTTTCGTCTAATTATAACGATAAGGCATTATAACAAAAAGGAAGCGTCTCGAAAGTGTAAGAGGAGAATAATTAGAACCGCCTTCGCCTCGAAACGCAGACGATCGCGCGTTTACACCCCGGCTATATTTAACGTGTCCTATTCGGTATACGAGCGGATACGGATTTTATCGTTTATCTGCGGAATCGAGAAACGCAGGCAAATACGATCTCGCAATTGGAATGGCAAGATGAAAGGAGCTGTAGCCAGTAGGAGAGCCTAGCCCGCGGAGACGCGTGATAGGGACGCGTGTACTGCACGCACGCCCGTGTGTGCTACACGCAATGCAGGAAGGTAAAAGGCGTAGGTGGATGGATCGATAGAGCAGGTGGCAGCACGTCGGTGCTCTCCCTGGTTCGCTTCCGGCGCAGCGGAGTGTCATTGGACTCTCTCAGCCGATCGAACGAATTGGCCTCGGCACGATTGTGAGAAATAATAGCAAGGCTAATTCATTCGGAGACGTGGGGCAAGTAACGTAATTATCAACGATCACGACTCATTAAGATACGACGCCGTCCTAGATGGTTTCTCGTGACTTGAATTTCCGACGAAAGTGCACGAAAAGTTGTTGACAGTACAAGGAAAGAACAATTTTGATGAAGCATCTAAAAATTTAGCTGAATACAGACTTCAAAATAATTTTGTTTGGACCATCAAAATAATTATATAGGACGCTTAAATTGATATAATATTAAATTGATAGAATATTAAAACTTTTTGCACTATCATCAATACTTAAAAATAATAATTATTATCTACATAATTATTATTGCGATAATCTAATAAAATTAATTTCAGATCGATATTCAAAGAAAAAATTGGCTGAATAGAGCATAGTATTTTTTTAATTAGTTGCAGTAGCCAATTTTTGGTTGCGTTAGCTTATCGAAATTCTACACTGATATAGATTAACGCAAAAATTGGCTGCTGTAATAAAAAATTGGCTGTTACAGTCAATTAAAAATGCTATGCTATATTTTACCATCTAATTTGCTTCAGCAGTAGCCATTCTTTTCTTTCAATATAGTTACATTTTTGGATATTTCAGTAAAACCTTCTTTCTGTATAAATACAATAAATATGGAATATATTATAATATAGGAAATATAGGAATAATATAGGAACATAATAACTATCAACATATTAAGTGAAATAATTATTTTCAGATTTGAACACTAAAAAAAGAGCCTAATAATAGCTGCTAAATATTGAGAGAAATAACAATCAAATCTTCGGTTAATATAAAAATAATCTTTTACTTTTTTAAATATTTAATAAGTATTAGCAAACGGTTGATTATATTATTGTGTTTCATAAAACTTATTAAAAGTATGTAGATATATATATACATACATATATATATAAATATAAGTAAAAATTATTTTTAATTATATTAACCGAACATTTGATTATTATTTCTCTCAATATTTAGCAGCTATCAGGCTCTTTTTTTAGTGTTCAAATCTAAAAATAATTTTATTGGACCAAAATTAGGATGCTCAAATATGATGAGCAATGTAAGTCTTTTTTTATATTTTAACAATCAGCTTGAGTGTCTTACATAATTATTTTGATAGTCTAAGAAAATTATTTTGTATTTAGCTAAAATATATATCAAACTAAATTTTTAGATATTTTAGCAAAATTATTCTTTCTATGTGAAAAAGCAATCTCGAATTTAAATTGAACAATATAGATATTCTCAAAAGACTCTTTTCTAAAATTTCTTGAAAAAATTACCAGGAAAAAGATTCGATCGAAAGAAGACAAAATAAATATCAATGAGAAGCTTCACAAAGACTTCTCTTATCTAGAAGGCACTTATTCTTTATGTCAAATGTTAATTCTGTACCAACAAAGCTTGGTGACACAGATTCATTTATGTACATTTTAATACAGAGTTATTCAACATCGTGACGCGAGGCACGCAACAACTGGAGCACGTAAAGAATTTACTTACTTTGCGAATGTCTTCTAAATTGTGAATTTCCGGCGACAAACCACCGTGTACGCAGAGGAACTGTTGGTTCATGAGGGCGGCGAGCGGCAAACAGTCGAAGGCATCCATGCACGCGTCGTACACCCTCTCGGAGTATTTTATTTTACCTGAAAGCAAAAAAAAAAGATATCCAAAATTAAAATAACATATTAGAACTTTATCCACGCGATGAAAGTATTTCGTAATTTCTATCAGAGCTTTATGGCATTTACAATGATCGATACGAATGTGTCGAGGACTACTTTCACAGCTTTCATAGCAATGAAATGAGATGAGAACACGGAGTTGACATGTCTAATCTGATGTTCGGCGAAAAAGTCGAAATGGAGGAGAAAATAAAGGCGACGCGAGGGAGTCATGAGGAAAGATCCTGACAAGGCGAGGCGAAATACGCATAGTCGGGCATGGACTATTTCGCGAACGAGTCGTAAAAAGAATGGCGGACACACGGGGGCTCTATTTCACGTCGCAATCCTCGTAGAATAATGGATACTCTCCAGAATACGGAGAGAAGCTAGCTGGGGTCGTCCACGCCTGTTCTGTGTTCCTGAAATTTTGCTACGCGTCTCTCCTCCTCGCAGCTTTTCTCTCGCCATGCGAGAAGACCACGAATGCAACCGACAGCCCGCTCGTCTCGCGCGAGCGATAAACCGCTCCGGCAGATAAGATCCGGAGCGGGTAATTGTTGTCTTATTTCTAGAGTAAAACGGACCAATTCTGTGATACGGATGAAACCCGTATTTTCTCTTTCCTCTTTTTCGATTCCAAGTTCTGATTACTTTTATAACTAACTCGTATGACGCTGTTTCACATGAAAATTGTAAAACTTTAACTCTCCGAAGGATATCGTAAGAAGCTCTTCTCAAGCCATCGCTCTCTGTTTCTGACATGTTTCCTGTTAAATGTGACCTCGGAAATTGACGTAAAGCGAGCTGTATTTACTACATAGAAGGAGGATTGTCGAATCACTGTTCGAGGTGACGCGCGAAAAGAATTTCCTACCAATAAAGCGGAGTAATCTCGACAGGATAAAGATTTGTCGGCGCTGAAGCTAAACGGATCGTCGCTCGAAGTTGTCACTCGAGGACCTCTACGAGATCTCGCAAATGAACGACTAGTTGGTGGACGTAGGAGCCTCTTTGGGGTTGCGATTGAAGTATTGCGAAACGGATGTCTGTAATATCACGCCAAGGACGGACTCGGCGAAGCTTTCATGTCTTGAGATTATTAAAGCAGAGAGAAATAAAGAGAAAGACACCATTGTGAGATGTCTAACAAAGACTAATCGACAACATCATAATTAAACCGACAGATAATTAAGGAAAGTAAGATTAATTGTAAATAATATAAAAATTCGCGATTGAGGTCAACTAAGAACGATTAAAAACAATCTGAAATAAATTTAAACACAGATTATCGAAACTCTTATTGGATGAATAGAAAATATACAGAGTATATTTTCTGGTAGGCGCATGAAATGTCATATTATTAAATTATTCAATTCTCAGGTTTTGATACACGGAAAGAATGGTTTTGTTAAGTATCTAAAAATTCAGCTAAATATAAATGTCAATACAATTTTTTCTTGGATCAAATCGTTATGTAAATCATTTAAAATGATTGCAAAAATGTTAAACTTTTTTGCAGCATTGTTATCAATGTTTAAATTTATCACGTAATTATTTTAAATCTTTTTTATTCCTGCAGCACTATACTTCATTAGAATTCTCTTTCTTGCTTTTGTCAAATATCAAACATACATATCTCATTTTAAGTTCCAAAAGTATATACTAGTTCAATCTTTTAATAGTCCAACAAAATTATTTTTAGATTTGTATCTAATCAAATTTTTAATTACCAGCAAAACCATTCTTTCCGTTTAATCAATCCTAATTAATACTGTGATATATAAAATTACATTCTATCTATTTTGTTAAAAATAAATGTTAAATATAAAATAGTATAACATTTTGTATCATCCTATATCTTGTCCATCCATTTGCAAGAAGTATGCAACGATTGTTGATCTTCACAGTATTTTATTCTATCCTCGTGACTATTACGCGAAACACACGCTGCGTATCACGACAAAAATGACGGTTCTGGCGAAATCGTTGGCAAATTAATTGCACGTTCGTCTCCCATATTCGCGGACAAACGATCGTTTTTGGCATCGAGATTCATTTCGAAACGATGCCGTCGCGATCTTGGCGCGCGGCCATCGCGTCCCGGCTTCTAGCGCGAAAAGCGACAAAATCGTTCGGAATAATGTGTTTCTCGAGCTCGAGCTTCGGCATGCGACTTTCAGAAAGCGCGATCGTTAAGTTTCCAGCGTCGTGCACTACTAGATGGAGCCAGATAAGAACAGTTGTAAGACAATCGCGAAATAAGCACTGTATTCTCATATGGATTATAACTGAATATAATAAAATATATAATAAAAATATATAATAAAGTATAATATTTTAGTCTTAGCTCTTCAAAGAGCTGATATATATAGTTCAAAATTTGTAACACTGTGCAGTCACGACAAGTGAGACTCATTTAATTTTTGATAAATGAAAGACACTATAATTAATTTTAAGGAACCAAGATGACATAACTGCAAAAGAATAAATATCAAATTTATTTTAACACCAATAATTTAAATTTACAGATGTACTGTGAAAAATATAATTAAGTGGATCCAATAAATCCATCGATTTATTAATTCTGGCGGGATATAAATGCATCTAAGAGAGAAAGGAGAATTTTGCTGAATGTCTAACTTGTTGCGTTGATTGATGACAATGTTGAATAAAATTTAGCAACTAGTATGAGCGTTCTATATAATTATTTTGACGGATCAAACAAAATTATTCTCAAATCTGTATCCATATATAGTTAAATTTTTAGATACTCGAAAACCGTTCTTCCCGTAGCTCTATTTATTTTAATATTTTCATACAGGATCGAAGCTGCATCACCGTGTATTACGCTAGTCACGACGTAGAAAAATGATATATTTGGGATATACGAAATATATGATGGCAAGGAGCAACCGCGCATTTATCTTGATAGAACCGATATCGAACTTTTCTATACGTCACGGTTAAGCGCGCTACATTTTTCTCGCGTCATTGTTACTCGAATTGGCAGAAAAATGTGCGCACGACAAATGTTGGAAAAACGTCGGGGAAAAAAAATGCGGGTAGGATCGCGCGAACGCGATATATTATCACGACCTACTGCCTTTCCCTATACAATATTATGCCTGAGTTTTACATAAGACGCGATAGGGACAAGCTCTCACATTGTTATAATCCACAATGCCCGCTGCGGCTACATTAATTTATATAAAAAAATAAATGTGTACGATACTCTGACAGTTTATCGGAGTTATATAAAAATTTCTGTTGCATTCGTTTTAAAGAGAAGGAAATAAAACAAAGAGAGAGAGAATCACCGCCGCGCTACCCCCATTTCTATGCGAGCGTGCTATCGCGACTTCGTATCGCGAGGAAAAGCTTGAACCGCTGGAGATAATCGCAATTTTCTCGATCGGCTGGCACGTGAATGTCGGTATAATATATAGCGGCGAGTAACTAGGCCGCGTAAATAGGTGGCTGCGAAAAAGAAGAAAACGTGGAGAGACGTGGAGAGGGCGCACCCTCTCGCTAACCCCCGCACGGGGTTCCCAAACGTCCGCCAATAAATGCACGGCAAAAGCTCCGTTAAAACGATGATTAAAGCGCCGGCTGGTAACGTGCACGCTCGTTGGAATTTTCGTGGTTATCGCGGTTATTAAATGCGCGCGGAATCGGGGTCACGGTGCGTGCGCAAACGAGCAAATTTTTGTCGGGTGAACACCCCCTCCCTCCCCCTCCCCTCGTCGGATGACTCGCACTCCGTTTAATATCGCAGGCGGAAATGGCATTATGCCGGTTCTGGATGTAGATATCTAAGAGTAAATTAGAACTGTTCTTAAAAACAAACACCCCTCCCCCCTCCCCCTCCCGGGCACGAGAATGGATTCTAAGCAAGAAGATGCGCGAAGATGAGAAGTGAATCCATGTTGTTCCTTCTTGACGTTTACTACAAGATACCTTTTTACGTTTGCAATAATAATAGAGCTGTGAGGGTGGAATATAAAAGATGACGGGAGGGATGTAACATCATGTGGGACTGACGAGACAATAAGGCAGCATAAAACGTTTAATAATACATAAAATGTATTTAGAGGCAGTTAAAAGCGCTATACGACGAATTTATGTCCGACGTTCGTATAATCAAAGTATCATTAGGATACCGGGTGGATTTACTTGCAAGTATATAAGTACGTCGTAAATAATATATTATTTTTCACTCTTAAGTTTTAAAAATAAATGAATTGACGTCCTTTCTGAAATAAATTGCTGCTAAATTAATCAGACTAAAAAAATCTAATAATATATTTACCAAAATGTATTTTGTTTAGCGTATTGATGAAATATTTAAATTATCTAACGTAATAATAAGTAATTAACTATTTAGTAATTAGAAAAAATAATTAGAATAAATAAGTTTTCTGATTATCACACCAAAAAAGTGACAACTCTTTTTGATGGAAAAAGTTCAAAAGTTTGTAAAGTACATGAACAAAAAATAACACTTTTTAAATCAAATTTTTATAGTGATTAGTTTTATTCAAAAAAATATCTGCTGTTATTTCACTGGTTTATTCTTTTGATACCGTATAACAATGTATTATTAACTAAACGAAACAAAAGGATGAACATATTCATTAGATGGATAAAAAATAAATATATATTTTAAAAAATGTAATAAACAAAAATGTATTTTTTAAATACGCGAAAAATATTTGTAATCTTCGAAAATCATATTTAGTTTCACATTTCTTTGAAATTTAAAAATGATAGACTTAACACTGGACCAGTACTCAACCAGTACAATTAGCGCAACGATGAGCGAGTAGTAATTGTTAACAGATGAGAAAAGTGTGAATGGAACGCTTGTGTTTTATAAATCTCATTAGCTTAAAAAAAAAGGTGACTCTTAAAAACTCATTTTAGACAATAGTGACTTTTAGTAATTTATCAAAAAAGATGAGAAACAAGTAACATAAATGACTGGATTAATAGGGCTGAATTAATATTTAGAAAAGTAAAATTAACTCTTGATTGGTTTAATTAATTATATTAATCGAACATTTAATTCAAATTATTTCAAATTATTTGCCAATTCAAATTATTTGAAGCCAAAGCTTTATAGCATTTTCGACTGCAGTGAATTTGAACGTGGTTAAATTAATGACGTTGCATGCTCTACTATTGGTTGATATTACATGCTCTACTAATAGTATGTCATTAATCCAATCGAGATTGGTTCAACTCTACCGCTATTAATTAATTATCATCTAAGTTTGATTATTATTACCAAACATTTTTCAGTAACCAAAGTAGAGACGTTTTTTCAGCCTTAATTAGCTTCGAAAAATATTGTCCCTTCGGATCTGTCGCTGCAAAGATGTCGATGCATCTCTCGCGATGCATAGCTCGGACACTCGCGCATTAGACGCAGGCGGCGTCTCGCGGAAAAGTGTATCGATCGCGGAAAATTGTCCGATACTAGGTCAACCTAGTATTTGCAAGGCGCCCCCGCTCTCCGTCTCGGTTTCCCCAGTCGCGTCGTTATAACATTTACGATATGAACGACAGGACGGGAACGAGTATATAATATACAGTGTGATTTCCTCGTATGATGATGCAGGCAAATACCGGCTCACTGCAGAAAGCGCGGATTGAACGCGGAGAATCGCCGGAGATGCGTTTCGACTAAAGGCAATCATTCGATTTTTTCACACGTCGAGCTTTCATTTACCGGCTGCACGTACAAACGTATACAGATGGATGAGAGGATACGAGATGAGCAGCTGCAGTCCGACGTTAAACATGCTGCAAATCTGGATCTTCTGGTATCCATGCGTATAAATTGCACTAGGGCAGAGCCCACGTAATGTAGCGTAAACTCACGCGATTAATGTAATCCCGAAGCTCGTTGGTTACGAACAAGCTCGAACTTAAGCGAAACAACAAGAGAGCGAGAATCGCAAGCGTTCCCTAAATGTTCGGCAAATGTAACGTGCTGCCGATGTCCGGCGGTTTACGATCTCGTAACTTATCCGACGTGAGGTACACGTGATCGAAGAACTATGGGGACACACGCAGGTCACAAGGTCGATGTTGCACACGCAATACGAGTTATCGCTACGATCGAGTCTCGTTATTGCAGTAACGTTTTTACTGCAACATGGTACAGCATAAGTATAACACATATCTTTTTTATTAATTCCAGAGAATTTTCATAACATAATTTTCTACTTTTATTTTATCTAAACGGGACAATTCTGTAATATGTAGAACAAAAAAAATAAGTATGTGAATATAAATTGTAACAAAACTGTAAAATATGAATCGTTTAAAATGATATTGTCACGCGATAGTAATATTTATACTCTCAACACGATGCGATGGCATGAAAACAAATATAAAGATAATATAAATTAGCTCCATTACGAATTCCGTTAATTAGGTTAAATATATTCCCAATATTACGCTTACACAATATTCTACAAAACAATATGTTTATTTCTGCATTTAAAATTAGATTCCAATATTTATGCATGAGGATAGTTTATTTAGGTAATTAAATAATACGATATTAATATTTTTCATACAAAATCGATAAATTACACAAGCAAAATATTACTTTGAACTAACAAGCTATTTTTTGTAAATTTTTTTAAAAAAAAAAACTGTATATTAAAATGCTTCATAACATGACATAACTAAAAATAAGTTGAAATGAAAAAAAATTCAATACATTCGTGATTACTCAAAATTTCAAGATAACGATTTGACTTGCATCATTTTTAGCCTCCAAAAAAATCTGTAGAGAAACACCTTATCTGGTTCAAAGTAATTTAAAAAAATATTTTTTGTAAACTAGTGTTATCTTTATAGTTAACATTATGTTTTGTTCGCCGTAAATATATTCATCTACGAAATTTACATAAATTAACGCTTACAATTTTTATTCAGCTTTTGATTTTCTTTCTCGAAAACTATGTTTTGTTATTTAGACCGTAATTACGACACACGCGTGTACGTCAGGAGCCGAAGCTCCTACCGAAGCCTCTACGATGTAGGTAGGTAGATGAGCTGCATAAATTTCGTCGCCGTGCAAAGCTAATTCACCTTACGAGGTAACACTCCGTCATAACTAACGTGGCGGAAGACTTAATTTGAGTCGAAAATTATTAAACAGGAAATAATTTCTTATTACGACGCAAAACAAAAGTGGGCCATGGTTAAAAAGCGTGCAACACGAAGCGATATAAAAGATCCAACGACGCGGAGAAATGAATATTTCGAGATTGGAGGGAGAAAGAATGGACGGGCTTTCTTTCTTGCAAATTTTTGAAGGAAGAAAAAGATTTGCAGTCTCCATAGATTGTAAAACTGCTCATTCATGATATATTTTTTAAAATTATAAATATGAATACAAGAGAAAAGCTTACTTCCTCTCGAAGAGAGTTTACTTACATTCCTGCTTAAATGTGAAGTATTCCGTGAGATGACGGCACTCGTGGTTACCTCTGAGAAGGAAAAGTGTGGTTGGATGGCACAATTTCAGCGCCCACAGGTATAACACGCACTGAAACAAAAACGAACATACATGTTAGCTAAAGGTAATTCATCGTATAATAACGTTAATACTATTTCGTAACCGTTAGATATAAACTAACTTATATATATGATCGATAATATATTTCGAAATAAATATTTTTAAAAACGTACTTGTAAATATATAATATTAGAATTGTCTTTTATATGTCAAAATAATGTATAAATTAATTCATTTCTGTGAGTAGTTTTAAAGTAAACAACATTTATGTTAACGTATGTTCTCATTAAATAATAAATTCTTAAGTAAATTTTAGTTTTCTTGAGTTAAATTATTTAATTCCATTGTTTTACTTAAATTAATGACATATTGAGTAGAAGCAGTAACAGCTTATAGAAATGATTAAAAGTAACTAAAATTAGGTATAATTGACGTTATGAATTTAAATATATTCTGTTAAATAATGTAAGCAATCTCTTGAGTGTTAAACAACATTTTGTTATTTTTAACTTTTATATGTAAAATATAATTTAATTTTTGCATTTCTATAATTGTAACGCAAATAACAGTACGCATTTAATAAATAATAAATTAAATTTAAATTAAATTTAGTACATATTCTTGAGTTAAATTGTTTAATTAATTATTTTAATTTAATTAATGACATATTGATTAGAGCAATAACGACCTATAGAAAAGATTAAAAATAATTCAAATTGAATATAATTCAATATCATGAAATTAATAGTTATAAAAGAAATTAAATTGTCAATAAATTATTAATAAACGATTTATTAATACATTGAATCATAAAAGAATTTTCGAAAAACGATCAGTAATATGCCAAAGAGTCTATTATAATGTCAGCTTAAATGATAAAAAAAATGTTTTACGAGGAGAAATGGAACAACCGCCAAAAACATAAATATTCAAATCAGCTTGCGATTGTACTGCATCGACAATATCACGATCCTCCTATTAAATTGAAACAATTCGTCTCTCATCGAGCGGCTCCAATCGTTCGAAGATCCCCGGTTTGATCGGCATTCCTCCGCTTTAATTGCAGAACTTCCGTGTCGACATGAATTCGAGCGACGTACTGCCGACAGATTGCATCGCAGAATGCATTCGGACCTCGTGAGATTCTCTCCGTAATTTAACGTGCTATTAATCGGTGTTGGTCGAAGAGAGATGAGAACTAAACTCACAACTGTTTAATTTCCTACTTTCTTCTCTCCTTTTTCTCTCTTTTTTTATTTGTATATTTTTACTTTTCTTTTATTTTTGTGTTCTTAAAAAACTTGTAGAATAATAAACGCCTTCTCTCTCTCTCTCTCTCTCTCTCTCTCTCTCTCTCTCTCTCTCTCTTTCTATTTCATTTTCTCAATGCCATACAACGATGCCATTAATAATCCTGAAACGCATAATAGTGCTTAAAAGTGAATATTTTGGCAACGGAGACTTTACCAGCAGTTCTCAGCAAAAATGAATCGGGTGGCGAAAGCCATGACTTGCATTTGGCTTGCGTTTCGTGCACTCGATAAAAACATATTGCATAGTTGCACAAGATATACGTATTGTACACAGGGTGAAAATTATTTAATAAACATGAGAATTGCTCGCCGAGACTCAAGAAAAGATAAATAATAACAATGAATAAATCACATAGAGCTTAAATATATAAGATGTTATTGACTGTGTGTTATAAAATAATAAAAGTATAGATAAAATATTGAATAGCTTGTCTCGATCGTGAAATATAAAAGTTCGAGTTTTGAACTATTCTTCGATGGAGCGATCGGAATTGTCGGAATTTGGCTGTTATTCGAGGCGAAGTGCGTTACGCGCGAATGCATCACTAATTAATATTATTCGTTGTAACACACAGACCACTGACCCGCATTAAATTGGCAATGGCCGTTGCTAACGAACGGCGGATTTCGCACGAATTTTGTGTCCGCGCTAATTAGCTCGCTCGCTCGAATGTGGCGGGCCATAATGACGACTCCATTAACTTCAACACGGTTTTGGATAGAAAATGGGGAGGGACAGGGCGCGATTTCGTCGGGCCTTTTATGTGATTAACATTTGTCCCACATTCGTTGTTCGCGGCTATTTAATAATCACGGATGACGCGGCACTTTTAAACAGGCTTAATTGCGCGCATGAACAATGTGAATTAAAGCTTTTATAGGCACCGCACGTTCGTCGACAATTTTCTCGCAATGTGGAAAATTTGATCGAACAATCTTGATATCATCAATATGTAAAATGCAATTGTATCAAACGCAAGATTTCTTTACCTTGTCAATTTTTTAATATCAATTTTAACTGGCTAGAGAATTCAATGGAATCTAATATTTCTTCTCATAATTTTTGAAGTTTTCAATGTATTTCGAAAATTAAATTTCTATTCAACGATATAATAACAATTTAAAAATGAAAAGAATAAATTTATCCTTCGGCAATTCGAAAGTTTAATTTTAGTAACACTCCACATTTTCAATTACTTACGACAAAAACTTGTTGATATTTCATCATTTTTAAAAATCATCAAAAGATTGTGAAAATTAAGTTAAAAGTAATCGAAAAAAATCAGTAGAGGAAAGATGTCTTAATTTTAGAGTTACATAAAAAATTAATACAAAAAATGTAACGCTGATACAATTTGCAAGCATTTTATTTCTTCATTAAAATTTATAGCATGTCAAATTAATATCTTTCAATAAATTTAACCTTTATGCTATGGTTAAATTAATACATTTAATTAACACATTTTTATAAGATATTTTTAACAATATCCAGTGTGATAAATACATGACAAAACGATACAGTGTGGAATCTCCAAAGGATTAAAGGCAAAATGAAAAACCAACTCGATATTATTATTCATTCTGGAACGATTTTTCTCTTTTAAAAAGTTAATCTTTGCCTAACCTACCGAGGAAAGGATAGTTGAGTGGCCCTTCCCAGTCTTTTGCGACTGCAAAGCGTAAAGGGGGAGAAATCTCCGAGAAAAAGTTGAAAAATATTCTAGCACCGTGGTCTTACGTAAGGTAAAACAGATGTGATTGCGATTGAAACCGCTGGACCGGAACATTTAACCTTTGTGTATCAAATCGATACCATGGAACTACCAACATCGTATCGCGGCTCGGCTCAGTGGGATAGAGGAAAAGAAATGTCACACATTGGTTACATAGGATATTTATCTCCCGCTCTCGCATCTCATAGGATCGCACATCATGGCAACGGTTAACACGTCAGCGGTGGGGTATCGATACACAACGCGGTTTTTTCAATTTTGCATGACGCCGCGCTTCCGAGAGCGAGATAAATCCTCGGATCCGTAAAAGCCAGGGCGCCGGCAATTTTTTTTCTTAGACTTTCGAGGTCAATTATTTTCTCCCTGCTGACCCGATCGACTGTCTACCGTCATCCGCCCCTCGCATCGTTCCGCGACCCTTCTTCCTCCACCATCCCTTTGCGAAGTCAACGGAGCGGCTGCTCGTTCTCGCCTTGTCCCGGCCGCTATAATTACACGCGAGGGCCCTCATTGGCATTGTAACGAAATAACGCGCTCGTCCTTCAGGTTCTACCGCGGATCGCTCGCGAGCGACACACTCGTGCTCTCCGCATCGGATATATAGGTCCCTTCTAAGGGCCATCACACAAAATAATATGAACTGTATAAACATAGCATAAGATCGCTAGGCCAATAAACATCTTATGCAAATCAATATGGCATCTTTTTGTCAGATAATCATTGATCTAATTATTGGTCTTGTGCTATGTTTATACAGTGCAGTTTATGCCATTTTGTGTGGTGGCCCTTACATGATGATTGTGCGAAACGCATATAAACGTAGATTGACAATTGAATTCATACATAAGATTATAATTCTTTTTTATTCTTAATTCAAATTTGTTAAGTTCATTCGTCGTCCAAATTAATAACATCTTCAAGGCGGAGAAATCCATTTGCGTTTATATTCCAATGATGTTCCCACAGTTAGAGAAGTACTCTCGAAACTCTTCAATTGAAATAGTCAAGATACCGATTGAAACTTCTTTTTCCAACTTAACAAAGATTTGTACTACTTAGAAATACGATGCTTTATCTTCGTAAACATTTTCCAATGTTTTCATAATTTCTTGGCTATTCTTTTAAAGATTCTTTTCAATAAGAATTTTGATAGTGATTCCTTCAATACCACTTGAGATACTCAATGCAATAAAAAGACGCCTTTGCTAAATGAACAATTATCTACCATATATATATATATATA